GGGGATTCTCCCCACCCACAGGATTCCAGGAAGTACCAGAAACTAACAGCCAACACCTGAGACAGCCAGAAGGGTAGAGGCCAGCATAAAATCAAAACCAACAAAAGCCAAAGACATATGGCATCTCCAGAACCCAGTTATCCAGGGGCAAGTAGCCCTGGACACCTTATCATAAGTGAAATTCAGGAAGATGACCTTACATCTATGCTTATGAAGAGGTTAATGGAGGAAAGAAATGAATAAGTAAAGAATAAGAGGAAGGTAAAGACAAACAGAGTATGGCCATCCGTAAAGAAACAGAGGAAGATGCAGCCAAACACTCTGTGGCCTTCAGAGATGTTAATACTTTAGTCACTGAAAGAAATAAAAGAAACAGAGGAATGTTCAAACAAACAGGTAAAGGAAATGAAGTAAAATATAGTTAGATGAAGGAAATCAACAAAAGATTCAAGATCTGAAGACAGAATTAGAAAATTTAAAGAAAACACAAACAGAGGAAATCATGGAGAGGAAGAACTCAGGGAAGAAAACAGCAACTACAGAGGTAAGCATAACCAATAGACTACAAGAGATAGAAGAAAGAATCTCAGGTGTGGAAGATGCAATGGAAGAAATCAATGTATCCATCAAAGAAAATGCTAAATCTAAAAATTCCTAGCACAAACCGTCCAAAAAATCCAAGACAACATAAAAAGACAAAACCTAAGAATAATAGGAATAGGGGGGGGGGGGAAGTAAAAAATTATTTGAGTACAGTCTCACTCATTTATAGTACTTTTTTTAAATCTTAGTTGCCATGCCAACTTGCATCATTAATGGTCCATTTTCCTCACTGTATTCTGCAAAAATGAGGTCTCCATCTTTGCCTGTGAGGTCCTGAGGTGTGCACATAAAAAACATCTCTCCACCACCTAAGGCTTGCCTCTCTTGTTCTCTCATCTGTCCAGAATGAAGACAATACAGCCTATTTCCCACAAGAAAATTAACTACACACATTGTTATCATCCAATCTGAGACAAAACCAAAACATTCTTTGCATGTCATTTTTTCAATTTCATTAAAGTTGAAAGACTAGTACTCTGAATATCTTTTATCTCACTACTTAAACATTTTCCCTACTTATCTGTAAATTTTCTACAGATTTTAGTAAACCAGTTTTGAAAGCTGCAATATTTTGGCCTTAAGTATAACCATATGTATCTTCTAAGAATAAGGACATTTTTCTGAATAACCAAAATAAAACAGTATTACATCTGAGAAAACAATTTCCTAATATAATTTAATTCCAGTATAGTCTCCCAATTTGTACCCCAATTATCTTATAGACCTTTTCTTCTAACCAGGAGTCAATTATACCTTTGCCTTCTTCTTGATGGGCTTCAGCAAAGGCTGGACTGAGTGTGGTGGTCCTGGCTGAGATAATGTACCAAAGGAGTACTTTTTCAGAGGTGGGCGATGGAACTGTCGGAGTTTCATGGGTCCCATGTGGGTGGGAAAGAAGGGCTGTTGTAATTCTACAGCTGGAATTAAGTGCTAAACAGGAAGCAGAAGAGTTAAAAGCAAATACTATCTCTTTCCCAGGCAGTATCTACCCATATCCTCCATCAAACAAAGCAGCTATTTGTACCTGGATGATATTCCCTCCAAAAGTGCCTCTAAGACCTTGTTGCTTGGGATAGTAATACTCATCATTGGAGAGATTCCATGGATCTTTCACTTCTGGCTGAGACATGTTCTAATGGCAGATCAAATAAGCATCATCAGACTACCCTTTCCTAATACCTTTCTTTGTTCTTCTAAACACCAAGTCCTTTTCTTTTCACCAACCTGCTGTGGCTCTTCCTTGATGGCTCCTGTTTTTCCTAAGAGAATTCGACTCTTCTTCACAGATGGTTCTTTCTTACTCTCCTTGGAAGGGGAATCAGAAGTAGCTTCTTCCTTCTCATCAGGGATATCTGAGGATATAACAAGAAATGACTTTGCAATTACTATCCCTGAATACTCATTTTCTTTCCTCCTCTTCCTTGCTATCCCTAAAGGCTCATTTTCTTTCTTTCCTCCTCTTCCTTCTCCTCTTCTTCTTCCCTTCTTCTTACCCCCTCTTCCCCACCCCTTCTGTGTAATACTAACTATTGAAACTAAGGTATTACACAGGCTAGGAAAGGACTCTACAACTGTGCTGTATCTCCACCCCTCTTGATATCTTTTTGCATTAGTTTTAGACAGAATCTCACTAAGTTGCCAAACCTGCCCTAGAACACACTCTGTAGCCTTGAACTTACAGTCTTCTTGCCTTGGCCTCCTAAGTAACTGGGATCCATGCTACCAGGTCCAGCTAAAACTCACCTTTCCCACTGATATTTTGGAGTTTCTAAGTATATCTCTCACTTTACTTCCAGACTACTTTTACTTGGCAATTTGTTTCAGCTAAACTACATGTCTGACATCTTTTGTTTGGTTGGTTTTGAGAAAGTTCACCTGTGTAGTCCTGGGTGTCCTAGAAATTACTATGTAGACCAGGGAGGCCTCAACTCCGGGATCCACCTGCCTCTTCCTCCCAAGTGTTGGGATTTTAGGTATTTGCCACCACTGCCCAGCTATGCCTGATGATGTCTTAAAAGATACAAATTACAACATTCCTGAATGGGTTTTTCATAAACAATACACAAACACTAGAAACTGGCAGCTACAGCTCTGCTTTTAAAAAATCATGACCTAACAGTTCCTAGTTTTTGACTTCTCTAACATTTTTATTTCCTTTTGCCCTTTGACATTAATTTAGTATGATGTCAAAGATAAGAGAACACTGGCTTCTGCCACCAACATACCCCAAATCAAGTTTTCATCATTGGGATCAAGTGCTAAGACAGGAGGCTCCAAAATCCTAGGCATGGCCTGAGCATCCCAAATGATATTATCCTCCCAACGTCTATACACCAGATCTTCATTATCAATGGGGAAAATGGAGTACCAAGGTTTATCATCATCCAATGTGGCTGCAAAACCTGGCCAAACAGGAAGACAAAACAGTCAATAGACAGAACAGTTAACAAACAAAACATTAATGCTCCTTTCAGTCATGATCCTAGCAAAAAGAAAAAGAACTAATTAGTGCAGTTATTCATATAACATTCAAAAGGAATCTACTAGAGGTCATGTATATCTCAATAGACAGAAACCACTGCTGACAAAATGTCCATTACAATATTGTTATAATAGTTTAAACTTAAACAGCCTTCTTACTATGGGACTAGCCAAATAATTATGGTGAGGTGCTGGAGAGATAGCTTAGCAGTTAACAGCACTAGATTATTTTTTCCAGAGGACCGAGGTTCAATTTCTAACACCCACATGGTAGCGTACAACACTTACTCCAGATTCAGGGGATTCAGGGGATCACACAGACATACATGCAGGCAAAACTCCAATGCACAAAAATAAACAATAAACAAATTATTAAAAAAACTATGGTGATAAATACTGGTTTTAAAAATATTAGCAAATAAAGAAATTATTAGTAAATAAGGAATATGCATTTCTAAGAATATTATGCAAAAAATTCAAATACCTATGCACTCAGGAGACTTAGACAATGATTGTGAACTTGAGGGGTGAATGACTACACATCAAGATCTTGTATCAAAAATAGTATGTAATTCACTTGGATGTGGAAGCCATCTCCTCTAATCCTAGAATTTCAGAAGCAGAGACAGAGGGAGGCCAGCAAGCGATTCATAGCAAGACTTTGTGTGTGTATATGTGTGTGTGTCTGACAGAGAGAGAGAGAGAGAGAGAGAGAGAGAGAGAGAGAGAGAGAGAATGCAGATGCAGTGGTGCACACCTATAATCCCATCACTCTGGTCTACAGAGTGAGTTCCAGGACAACCATGGTTACACAAAGAAACACTGTCTCAAACACACACACACACACACACACACACAACAACAACAACAACAACAACAACAACAAAAAGAATAATACAATGTAACTGACTTGGACGTGGTAGCATTCTCATTTAACCCTAGAACTTGGCAAGCAGAGACAGGGGGAGGGTAGCCACTGATGCACAGTGAGACTTTGTCTCAAGAAACTATGAAACCCATAAAGAATTTAACTACAAGTAAGGAGAAACAACTTTTCACACAATTTTAAAATTTAAGGCATTTTTAACTAGGTGGTGGCAGCACACACCTTTAATCCCAGCATTTGGGAGGCAGAGGCAGTGGATCTCTGAGTTCAAGGCCAGCTTGGTCTACAGAGTTTAAAGACAGCCAGGGATACAGAGAGAATCCTGTCTCTAAAAACCAAAACAAAATTATGGGGTTTTTTTGTTTGTTTATTTTTTTCTAGACAGAGTTTCTCTGTGGAATAGTCCTGGAAAGTGTGGGCATTTTTTGAGTTGGCTGTGCTGGTATGTATGTATAATCCCAGCACTCAAGAGGTAGAGAGTGAGTTCCAGGACAGCCTGAGCTATATATAGTGAAAATGCCTCAAAAAAAAAAAAAGTCAATTGTTGGGTGATGGTGTGTGGTGTGAATTGTGAAATGATTCCAGGGTAACAGAGAAAGTATGGAGAATACAGAATGATATAAAGAAAACTGAAGAAACTAAAGGAACAATTGCAAATGTATTAAAATATTTTTAGTCAGAGTTTTGTTTACACAGTTCAAAGTTTTTCATTTTTAGAAATGGAATACCAAATAGCCTGGTTCAAATATTGTTTTCTTTCCATTTTAAATGTTTTCCGGAATTTATTGTTATCACATGTACTCAAGAGTCTAATATAGAAGGATTACTTTCAGTTCAAGGTAAGCCTGGAGTGCATGCATGGCAAGTACTAGGCAAGCAAAGGATACAGAGTGAAATCCTGTCTCAGAAATCCAAAGACTCAAGGTGACTTTCTAATATGTCCCTCTGACCTCAGTGTTGGTCAAAGGTTTATCAAGATCACCAAGAAAAACTTAGAGATTGCCAAGGACTTGTTTAAAAGTGCTTTCATGTATGACTGATAGCTCTGACATAGCTAACATGGAGATATTTAAAACCATTTTTCTTCTGAAAATTCATAGCTCTGACATAGCTAACATGGAGATATTTAAAACCATTTTTCTTCTGAAAATTCGTAAATAATGAATGTTTCCCATGTCACTAACATTTACATACACGACTTTGAAACCTTACATATGTTAAAAGAAAATCAACAAGACACAGTGTCACACACCTTTCATCCCAGCACTTGGGATGGAGTGGCAGGCAGATCTCTCTAAGTTTCAGGACAACCAGGACTACACAGTGAGGACTTGTCTCAAAAAACAACATCAGAACAAAACGACAGCCTACAGACTGGGAAAGTATCTTCACCAACCCTATATCTGACAAAGGGTTACTATCCAGAATATATAAAGAACTAAAGAATTTAAAAGCAGCAAATCAAGCAATCCAATTAAAAAATGAGGTACAGAGCTAAACAGAGAATTCTCTGTAGAAGAATATAGAATGGCAGAGAATCACAGAAATGTGCACTGTCCTTAGACATCAGGGAGATGCAAATAAAAAGACCTGAGATTTCATCTTACACCCATCAGAATGGCTAAGATCAAAAACTCAAGAGACAATACATGCTAGAGAGGATATGGAGAAAGGGGAACCCTCCTCCACTGCTTATGGAAATGTAAACTTCTACAACCACTTTAGAAATGAATCAGGCACTTTCTCAGAAAAATAGGAATAGAGCTTCCTCAAGATCCAGCTATACCACTACTAGGCATATATTCAAAATATGCTCTAGTGCACAACAAGGACATTTGTTCAACCATTTTCATAGCAGCTTTATTCATAATATCCAGAACCTGGAAAAAAACCCAGATGTTCCTCAACTGAGGAATGGATTCAGAAATTGTGGTACATTTACACAACGGAATACTACTCAGTAATTAAAAACAAGAAAAATCATTAAATTTGCAGGCAATTGGTGGGATCTAGAAAAGATCATCCTAAGTGAGGTATCCCAGAAGAAGAAAGACACACCCAGTATATACTCACTTATAACTGGATATTAGACATATAATATAAGAAAAACATACTAAAATCTGTACAACTAAAGAAACTAAGCAGGAAGGAGGACCCAGGGTAAGATGATCAATGACAAATGAGATGGACACTGGAAGAAGGACAAAACAGAAAAAAGAACAGGAGCCTACCACAGAGGGCCTCTCAAAGACTGTACCCAGCAGTGTATCAAAGCAGACGCTGAGACTCATAACCAAACTTTGGGCAGAGTACAGGGAATCTTATGAAAGAAGGGGGAGACAGTAAGACATAGAGACAACAGGAGCTCCACAAGGAGAACAACAGAACCAAAATATCTGGGCACAGGGGTCTTTTCTGAGACTTATACTCCAACCAAGTACCATGCATGGAGATAACCTAGAACCCCTGCACAGATGTAGCCCATGACAACTCAGTCTCCAAATGGGTTCCCTAGTAAGGGGAACAGGGCCTGTCTCTGAAATGAACTCATTGGCTGGCTCTTTGATCACCTCCCCCAGAGTGGGGAGCAGCCTTACCAGGCCACAGAAGAGGACAATGCAGCCAGTCCTGATGAGAATTGATAAACCAGGGTCAGATGGAAGGAGAAGAGGACTCCCCTATCAGAAGACTTTGAGAGGGGCATGGGAGGAGATGAGTGGGAGGAAAGATGGGATTGGGAGGGCTGAAGGAGGGAGCTACAGCTGGGATACAAAGTGAATACACTATAATAAATATAAAAAATGAAAATTTAATAATAAAAAACAACAACAACAAAAGCAAGAGAAAAACCACAGTATATATGGTGGGATGTGGTGGATTACACATGTAATCCCAGCACTTGTGGGGCTGAAGTAGGAAGACTACAGCAAATCTGATGCTAATCTGGATTCAAGATAGGCAAGACCCTATCTCAAAAACCACCACCACCACAGCACTCAGGAGACAGAGTCAGTTGGATCTCTGTGAGTTCCAGGCCAGTTTGGTTTATATAGCAACCAGATCAAAAACAAAACAACAAAACAGCATTATAACACTGAATCACACCAGGCATGGCAATAAATACCTATAATCGTAGTATTTGGGAAGATGGTGAGATTAAGGACAGCCTGGTCTACACAGTGAGCTCCATATATAAAGCAGGACCTTGTCTCAACATGAATCAAGTACCTAAGCTTAACCATATACATGCAGAAAACAAAACATCAGAAAGTTAATATAACTAATAATCTTTAGAATATGAGATTTTCCTTTCTTACTCTGTTAAACACAGTTTGTTATGCACAGTTTGTGTTGGGGGGTCGTCAGGAGGTGGTGGTGGAGGGTTGATTTTGTTTGGTTGGTTTGTTGGTTGGGTTTTCGGTACAGGGTTTCTCTTTGTAGCCCTAGCTATCCCAGAACTCACTCTGTAGCCCAGGATGGCCTAAAACTCACAGAGATCACCCTGCCTCTGCCTCCCTAGTGTTGGGATTAAAGGCGTGTGCCAGCAACTGCCCAGCTAAGCACAGTATTCTTTATTTTAACCTGGTAGAGAAAAAAATTATAATAAATTGCCTATATGAACAATTTAAAAAAAAATCAGGGATGAGATTTAAAGCATTTCACTATCCCTCAGCAGCCTAAAAGAGAGTAACTAGCATTAGTTATGATGAATGAGATGAAGAACTGTGTGCTAGGTACGGCCAGCACAGAGACACACCTTGCTGAACATTGTAAGCCGTAGCATTCCTAGTCACACTGGAAGGTAGCCATCCTGCCATACTTGCACGCTGAGGTTCTGTTACTTTGTGCTTCACGTCCTCCCCATCCCAGATGATATCATCTTCCCAATGCAGTTGTGTCACCATTAGGAAGTTTTCATCTGCCAGAAGATCAACGCCATTGCTTTCCTCAGGTTTTCTTAATTTCTGTACAAGTAGAAAGAATAATGAATCAACCAGTACTGGTCAAAGTCCACAATGCAGAGCCTAAATGATTCATGAGATATCTCAAGTGGTGCTTTTCCAGGCTTAGTGCCCAATACTTGCAGCCCTAGCACTTGTAAAACTGACAGAATTCCAAGTTTGAGGTCATCCCAGGATGCACAGTAAAACCCTGTTTCAAAAGCCAAGGATTGGGAATTTAGCCCAGCTGTGGAGTGCTTGCCCAGCATGTGCAAGACCCTGGAATCTCCAGCAAGGGAAAAAAAAGTGATGTTTTACTTGTGCAAATTACCTGGTACTGAAAAAGTATCTGTCCCCTCTCCAATTCCTACTTTGGAACAGCACCCATTTCAAAAACAGAATCCTTAAAATAGGGACTAGTTATAAGATGATTTAGTACTCGTAACCTACTACTAAAGATTCTACCCAAGAAGTTCCCAGCTGAGAAGTTGGTAAAAATGATAGAACCCTAGAAGGGGAGGAGGTCCTCCCCTATCAGTGGACTTCGAAAGGGGCAGGGAGGAGATGAAGGAGGGAGGGTGGGATTGGGAGGGAATGAGGGAGCAGGATACAGCTGGGATACAAAGTAAATAACCTATGATTAATATAAAACAAAACAAAAAAAAGAAAAAAAATGATAGAACCCAAAGCACACTGATTCCTCTCTCATATACCAGAGTTGATTACCTTCACCAGGTCGCATTTTGTTGTAGGTTCATGTTCAGTCTTCTTCATTTTGAAGCCATAGTCAAACCCACTGCCATCTTCAGGGACTCCTAGCATGTCGTACCACAACCGGGCAGGTCCATAACACCATTCTGCCACTTTTGGTTTGGTATCCATCATTTTATCAATGTCTCCAGTTGACTGGGAAAACTTCGACTTCATAGGAGCCAACATTGTGATCTGTAACAGAGTCAAAGATGTAGAGTTGGGGTTCTCTGTATCAAATGACCTGAGGCTACAGAGAATTAACAATTGTAGGGTGACTTAGGAGAACCACAGGATGATTCCTGAACAGGAATTTTAAACTGATGTTAGACTATGAAAAAATAGAGGTACATCATGGCCTGCTCTGTCCATGAGTCATAGCTTTGCATTTAGCAATGCAAACCTTTACCTTGCACTGACCTATTCACCAAATATTGTCTGTTAGAACAGGGAAGGTGAGACCACTGGATTTAACTCATAATTATTCATTGAAAATTAGCAAAGAACTCTTCATGGTAAAGTGTTAGTTCCAACTTTGACATAAACTAGAGAGCTTTCTATGTGTCCCCTTGTACACATTAAACCCATGTCTACTTTGCCTACTTCATCATCAGAGAGACATTGCTCTGGGGGGAGAGGTGAAGCATATTCATATTTCATGAGATTTCTGGTTGACTTCTAATTCTCCTGAGCACTCCTCCTGGCTCTGCTCTTCCTGTATTATAAGTTCACGTTGCTTCTTTTTCCTCTTTCTCCAAGCACTCCTCCAAACAGATGGGGCATTCTTCCCTGGTCCAAAAAAGCCATAAAAAGGGTAACACCTAGAACACAGAATATACTATTATGTCAGAGATTCACTATCTGAAAGACTCTCAAGTGATCTATTCTGTTTCAGGAAAGAAAATGAAGGAATGTTAAGATAAGACCACAAAAGTGTTGTCCCTGAATAGAATAATTTCTTCTTCTTTTTCTTTTTCCTTTTGAGGGGAGGGCTGTACTGGGATATGAACCCAGGGACTTGCATTATACCACGGAGTTACAATCCCAATCCTTAGCTTTGTTTTATTTTTGTTTTCTGAGACAGGGTCTCAATATGAAACCTTGGCCTGGAACTTTCTGTGTAGAACAGTCTGGCCTCAGACTCAGAGATCTACTTGCCTCTACCTGTGTTTAAAGGCATGCACCACCATCCCTGGTTAGTCTTCATCTTCTTGAGACAGGGTCTCACTAAGCTGCCCAGGTTGCTCCTGAACTCACTCTGAAGCCCAGGAAACCTTGAACTTATGATCCTCCTGTCTTAGCTCCCTAGTTGCTGGGATCAAAGGTCTACACTTCTAGGTTTGATGTGATGGTCTGAAAGAGAATGGTCCCCGCAGACTCATATATTTGAATCTTGTGTTCCCAGTTAGTGAAACTGTTTGGGAAGGATTAAAGGGTATGGCCTTATTGGAGAAGGTGTGTCACTGGGGGGGGGGGGTTTGATGTTTCAGAAATCCATGCCAAACCCAGTCTCAGCTCTCTCTGCCTGCAGATCCAGAAATAAGCTCTCAGCTACTGCTTAGATGCCACTGTGCTCCCTGCCATAATGTTCATGGATTAACCCTCTGAAACTGGAAGCAAGCATCCAATGAAATCCTTCCTTTATAAGTTGCTTTCATTATCCTGTCTCTTCATGGCAATAGAATAATAACTATGCCACTTGGTCTACTTTTTGTTCTAACAGGAAATTTATATTTTTAGTCATGAATTTATGTGTGTGTGTGTGTGTGTGTGTGTGTATGCATGTACAGGTGTACATGCCATATTACAGGTGTGGAGGTCAGAGAACAAGTATCTAGAGTTGGTTCTCTGAACAATCTGTGGAATCTGGGGAGACCCTTAGGCATGCATGCACATGCTTTTAACCAATGAACCATCTCAGCAGCTGCTAACAGGACAACTTTGTTGTTGTTGCTATTGTTTAATACAGGACTCTTTAACATAGCCTTGGCTGTCTGGAACTCACTGTGTAGACCAAACTGGCCTACAACTCACAGAGACCCACCGGCCACTACCTCTCAAGTTGAGATTAAATGAATTCACAATCATGCTTGGTAAGAGGACAGTATTTTTTTGTTTTGTTTTTTGGTTTTTTAACAGGACGGTTTTTAATGCAAATATTCTAAGCTCCATTTCCTATGAATACATACAACTTCACAAATGACCTAATACAGCGTGAAAAGTTCCTACATAAACAATTATCTGCCACTGAATAAGAATATCATTAACTCTCATGCACTGTATATTCAGCATTATAACAACAGAAGTAAGAATCTGGAAAAAGTCAGTTTTCATTATGGACATTCCCCATGCAAAGTACCTTTCCAGGCCTAAATTCTGGAAAAACTTCTGTGACACTTGGCAACTGCTTGGTGGCATCAAGCTGTATAATCCCAGCCAATGGTAGAGTCAGCTTTCCATCCTTAGATTCTGCCTGTGTTGAATCCTTAGCTCCCATCTCAGATTCTGAGCCAGAGTAGCAACTGAAGTCCACTTTCTCTGAGGCCAAAGAGGAAGGGGCAATGATGGAGGGCAAGATAATGCCTTCTCCATCTTCTCCATCTTCAGACACTGCAAAAGGAAGAGACACCCCTTTGGTATGGAACTGTGAACACATTTCCTCAAATTCAGCCAACAACCCCTTCTAAGATACTATGCATGGCTCTGTGGCAGGGGATATAATCCCAAGCAATCACACTGCTAGTATGCAGACCAGAAAACTCATCCAACTTGTTATTTCCCACCATCCCCAACTCAACTTGGAACAGGTAACCCAGGGTTGTGACGAGAGAAAACAAAAACTGTACTACATTTACTATTTTTCATAAATGACCAAGACTGTGCCCAATATTGAGATTAATAGGAAAATTATGTTAATACTTCACGTTAATCAGGCCCTGTTATGTTCAGTTAAGAGTTCAGAGATCTATAGGATGGAGAAAATTGAAAGCCCACAGAATATCAGAAAATGAATTCTATACACAAAGTTAAATAACCTTTACTCTAAAAACTACAGAAAATGGCTCAAAGTTCCAGCTAGAGAATTTAGGTTAACATAGCCTCAAAATAAAGAACAAGGCTGGGCATGGTGGCACACACCTTTGATCCCAGAACTCAGGAAGCAGAGGCAAGCAAATCTCTGTGAGTTCAAGGCCAGCCAGCAATTCACAGTGAGGCTCTGTTTAAAAAAAAAAAAAAAAAGTTGTCTTTCCCTATTGTCTGACCTATGACAGGATTAATAACATTACAGGGATAAGAATGGTGAAACGACAGCTCAAGACCTTATCAATCTTTGAAATTTCTGAATGTAAGTGATTCTGCATTCCAGAAGGTTGTTTGATTTTTTGAGACAGTGCTTTGTTACATAGTCCTAGGTAGCCTCAAACTAGCAGTCATCCTCCTGCCTTCAGAGTCCTGGGATCATAAGTGTACACTACCATACCCAGATTAAAAGCTTTTTCTTTTTTCAAAACACATAATTTCCAAGTACAAGTATATAATTCAGTTGCACCAGAAAGTCTTGGTGGAACAAAGAATGTGGTAGCTCATACATGTAATCCCAGCACTAAGAAGGCAGAAATACAAGGATTGCTACTACAGGTTTGAAGGCAGTCTTGCCTATTATACAAAATTCCAGTGAGGGGCTTCATAGTAAGACCATGTCTTAAAAAAAAGATTCTTGGGAAACTCTTCTGAATCAAACACTGCAGAAGAACCAGGTATCTAGGTAACTGTGATGAGCAGCCTAATTTGAGAAGCCCTGAGTTAACTTATTATTTCTTGACTGTCTGTTACAGAACATTTTAAAAGGAAAATTTCTATTCAATATCAGCATTTGACACTATGTAATTTTTTTCTATAAGTACCATCCTTTTCTAACATATTTTAAGCCCCTTAAACATGCCAAAAGCCTGATTTTATGAATAGAACTCTTTCCTAAAAGGAAAGTAGACAGTTTTTACTTACCACCAGTAACACCATCTTGGTTCCTCTCTTTCTTCACTGGTCCTGGAAGACATCAACTTGCAATCAATATCTTCACAGTCAGCATCAGAGTCATCTTCATTATAATCTGTTAAAACCAAGGTGATCTCCTTAGTATGAAGAATGCCATATAATATACTATACCCTGGAGCTCCCTTCAACACTCAAGAATTCAAAGCACCACAGAAGTAGTATGTACCCTTTAAGAATACACAAAACAGTCGTGTGTGTGTGCCACTTGCCTTTAATCTAAGCATTAAGGAGGCAGAAGCAGGTAGAACTGAGATTGAGGCTACCCAGGGCCACATAGTAAGAACCCATCTCTAAATACAAACAAACAAATCAACAAAACAATACAGAGGATGTACCTTCTGCCTTCGGAAAGATATGGTATAGCCAAACGTTCCACTCTTACATGGGGTATGAGAGCTTCCAGGAACTGTTTGAAATGTTTTACTTATCATACTGGGTTTTGTCTTCCATTGTTCAATGTAGTTGAATATTCTTTCCCAGTTTAAAAAGAAATTAAACAAACAAAAAACTAGATTTTTTTTCACAGTTCCCAAGTTCTTGATACAATTTTTCTGTCTATCGTTGGCAGCTGATCATTCTTTTCAGTCTTTTTAACTATTGACAATATTCAAAACTTGGTCCTGAATAACATATTTTGTTTTTTCTTTTTAAAATAATTTATTTAATTCAGTTCTCTGTGCAATGGCAAGAAGGTATGAGAATACATGGGACTGGAGTTACAGATTGTTGTCAACTGCCAGGTTGTTGCTGGGAATTGAACCCAGGTCCATTTGGAAGTGCAGCTAGTGCTCTTAACCACTGATCCATCTCTCCAGCCCCCTTGTTTTGTTTTTTCAAGACAAGGTTTCTATGTAGTCCTGGCTGTCTTGGCAATTGCTCTGTACATGAGAGCGGCCCTGAACTCAGGAGATCCACCTGCCTCTGCCTCCCAACTGCTGTGCATTAAAGGTGAACACTACCACGACTGGGCAAAGGTCTGTTAATATATTTTATGTATATGGGTGCTTTTCTGCATGTACATCTGCACACCAGAAGAGGGCCTTGGATCCTGTTATAGATGGTTGTAAGCTGCCATGTGGTTGCTGGAAATTAATCTTAGAACCTCTGGAAGAGCTCTTAACTGCTGAGTCATCTCTCCAGACCCCCATATTCTGTATTTAATGTTTTGATACAAAGTCTTCTGTAGCCCAAATATAGGGATTACAGGCATGCACTACCTTACCTGCCCGAATATTATTTTGTTTTAAATATTTCTCTTCAGCAATCACTCTTACCAGCCAGTATGGTGGAGCACACCTGTAATCTCAACACTTGGGAGTGAGAGGATGGATGATTAGGTGTTCAAGGCCATCCTTAACTACATACCAAGTTCAAGGCTGGTCTAAAGTATATAACATAATGGCTCCAGACAGCAACCAAAAACCCAAAAGGAAGCTGGCAGGATGGCTCAGTGGGTAAAAGCACCTACCATTAATCCTAACAACCTGAGTTTGATCCCCAGGACCCACATGGTAGAAGGAAAGAACTGATTATTTTAAGCTGTGCATCGGATCATGTGCTTCCACACAGTAATAAATGTAATTTTTAAAATAACAAAAAATAGAACCTGGGCCAAATCCACCTATCTCTGCTTCCCACCCTAATTTTAATCTAAATAGATGTATTTTGCCCTGTGTTATCTTATTTCTATAATTTTACCACAACTTGGTTGCCTAAAGGAACCTTTCCAGTCAGATTATCAAGGCTCCTTTGGTGGTGGGGGGTGAGTATGGGGGTAGCGGAGGTTACTAGATGCTTTCCCATCATGTGACCAAAAACTTATATTCCCAAAAAGCATTAACAATTTTATGGATTACAGAAGAACACTGGGTGATTACTGAAAATGACAAATTCAAATGTCAGATAATAAATGAAATATGGAGTTGCAATTAGAACCTTTAGTATTCTGACCCTGAAATCTATTCCTTCCATTCTACCACATGATTTAACAGTCATGCTGGCTAGAAACTAGTTATGGCATCAAATCTCAAATAATGTATATATTAAAAAAGTTACAAAATTTGTTTTACCTTTGGTTTTTGCTACTTAGCAGTATATGTCTGATGTCTTAAAACAAAAAACAAATAAACAAAAAAAGCCTGCTGAAGCCCACTACTCAAATATCTTTAATCCCACCACATGGGAGGAAGAAACAAATAGATCTCTGTGATGTCAAGGCCAGTCAGTCTACATAGTAAGCACTCCAGGCACTCCAGCTACACAATGAGACCCTACCCTGTCTCAAAACAACAAACACCAATGGCTAATTTCCCCAATACTTTTTTGTTTGTTTGTTTTCAAGTCAGGGTTTCCCTGTGTAGTACTGGCTGTCCTGGAACTCACTATGTAGACCGCCAGGTTGGTCTCTAACTTATAGTGATCCACCCACCTCTGCCTCTAGAGTGCTGGTTAGAGTCAGCACACCCCATTACTTTATTTCTCATTTTCTCAACTCTCTAGACAAGTCATATCTTTACACCAAATGTCTGAGTCACTACGTCTTTAATCCCAAGACAAAGAACACAGGAGCAGGAGGACCAACCCTTCAAGTCATTCTTAGCTGTATATGAAGCTTGAGGTCAGCTTGTGACACGTGAGATCCTATCCCAAAACAAAACAAAACAGAAATGCTGGGTGATCTCCACTAAACCTGTTTCTCCTTTCAAAAATCTGCTCCATAGCAGGACGAAGTAGCACATGACTTTTACCCCAACACTCGGAGGCAAGTGGAGCACTGTAACTTCAAGGCCAGCCTGGTCTACAGAGCAAGTTCCAGGACAGCCAGGGCTACACAGGGAAACCCTGTCTTGAAAGCAAACAAACAGAATTAGTAGTGGAATGTTTTGAGCCAAAACACGTTTACCAACTGACATGAGATTGTAAATTCAATCCTTCTTAATCTATAAACTCTTTAATGGCAAAGATTGAGGTTGTTCTAACCTCTAACTTTGAAGAGAATCTAAGAACACTATCTCAAACTTACAGGCACTTAAATATATCACATGACAAGAAATCATCATCACCGTTGTCATTAACAATTTGAGGCTGAACATTACAAAAACGAAAGCCTCAGTTTGGTGAAAGAGGATCCCTACTACTTGGAACTGAACTGACAATGGGAATAGCAAGCAGAGCAAATGTATGGGCAGTCAAGAACAATGGTAGAAATAAAGTATAGAAGTCAGAGCCCAAAACAGACTTATACAGAAGGAAAATGCACTACTCCACAAATTTACATCATTAAAGAATGCTGGGCATCTTTAATCCCAGCCCTTGGGAAACAGGCAGGAGGATCTCTACCAGCCGGAGACCATATGGCATACATAGTGAGTTCCAGAACAAGCAGAGCTACGTTGAAAGACCTCGGCAAAGGGGTTGCAAGCTCCCCATCGTCTGCTGATATCTTCGGCTTTCATCTTCTGCCACCTCACTAATGTCTCAATAGTCCACAGCATCTTCTCTACTTCTAATCCAGCCTATGGATTAAAAATAAATAAACAAATAAATAAATAAACGGAGATAACTCAAGAAAAAGCAATAATTACCACTTTCTTAGCTAATCCTCACTTAAAAATAAGTGTATAATAGCTAGCCTCCTCCCCGACCCACACAATACTCCCCATGGTCCATACTTCACCTTCATCATTTAGCAAGGCACCACCAGTCCCAGCCAATTCTTCATTCGCCATGAGTTCAGTGATCAAGCTGCCCAGACCCAAAGTCCCCAAGCCTGCAAGATGTTTCTTACACTCCTGAAAAAGGGGTAACAGAATACTTGAAAGTAACAACTAAACCTGAAGGTCCTACACAAGGTCTATTTCCCTTGCTCATAATAAAGTCACAAATCCATTTAAGAAATTATTCCACAATGTGCTCAAAGGAACACCACATTAAAAAACTGTATAGGAAACCCACTAAACTCCATATAGATCAGATCCAAACAACACAGGTTCCATCCATAGTCCTGGCTTTTTTCAGCCACTCCAGATCAGCAAAAGCCAGAAAAGCAAGAGTTCCAAAAGTCTTCAAGTAGGATCTTACCCAGTAGCGGTTCTGAGAACTCTACTAGGTTTAAATCTTAGTTTTCCAACCAGGCAAGTAGAATGTTAAGTTCAAACAAACCTTCAGCATAAATGACCGGCACTTAACTGTTTTCCTCTTTTCTCCCCGTTCTTCCTCAGAGCTGAGCCCGACTCTCTCTCCAGTAGTCCCCAAACCCAAGAGAAGGCTGAACCCCTGCACCCCAGAACGGGCTGAAACGCCCTCTACTACTACTACAGTTTCCCAAACAGCCTGGACTCTTCCACCCGACGTCCCCAGCGCCGCCGCCCTCCGCCTCAGGTCCAAGCCCGCGTCTCACATCATCCAGGACGCTTTCGCCCTCCAGCTGCCCTGCTCCGTTGATGTTGCCGAACAGGAAGCCGGTTAAAGAAAACGGGCCTCCTCCTGCGGAGTCCTCGTCGCTGTCCGTGTCCGACATGGCGGAAGGGGTGCCAGCACGGGGCGCGGACAGCCTAGCCGCCCAGCCGGGCTCCATGGGCCGGAAACAAATATATCAGTCGCAGGAAAGTGACTTAGCCAGCTCCGCGACCTACAGAGCCTTCCGGAAGCTGAAAAGAAAAACAACGGAGAGAGCGGGCCGTCCTTCCAGACCTGAGACTAAGGAGCGCCACTTCACTGTGTGTGATTGGTCCACCCAAACGACACAACAAACAAACAAACAAACACCCTTCAGGTTGCTGGGGCAACAGCGGCGGGTTTTCCTCCAATAAGAAAGAAGTTCTGAGGCCGCGTGACTTTTGCCCTCGGGTCACAGGTCACAATACAAAGAAGTAAGGATTGGAACCGGGTTGTGCCGCTTCCCCAAAGGAACGCTGTGTTGAATTGTGTTAGAGGTGGATTGCTACCTTACTTATCCTGGATTTACATTTTTCAATAGTAAAATGTGAAGCTAAGTGAAGCGAGCAGCCGAAACTTAAACATTCACAAACATTAACAATTTCATGACTTTTTTTTTTTTTTGAGCACTAGTGGACATGGCCCTAAGTTTGGTTCCCAGCGCCAACATAGATAAAATTATAGATATTATAAAAGCTGGAAGAGAAGAAACAGCAGGAGAGAGAAGGGAGGGTGGGGAGGGAGGAGGAAGGGGACAGGGGAATGGAGGGAGAAAGAAATTATGAGGAGCTGGGGTTACAGCTCCACTGGCAGAGGGCTTGCCAGTACGCTGGAGTTCTAAGACCTAGGTTCAATTCCCAGGATTTTTTTTTAATTACTAGATTTTGCATGGCATAGGAAGCTGAGGTAGGCATGCCTGTGAATTCAAGACCAGCCTGGTATACATAATAAGTTCCAGGCTACTCGGGGAGACCCTGTCTAAAAGATAAATACATATTTGAATAGACATCTTGAACCAGCGAAAATGCTTCCGTGGGTAAAGACACCTGCCTCCAGTCCAACCTGAGTTCCCTCCCCAGGAACTATGGCACCTTCTAACATACAAAAGTAGGCATATTTTATGTTTTAGCCCACAATGGTGGCACACAAAAATCACTGGAATTGAAACATCATCTTTGCTTCCAAACCTGGGACTTTATTCAGTTCTCCTAGTATGCATTTTTTTTGTGAATTTTTTTTTTGTTTCCTTGTTTCGTTTGTTTGTTTTGTGACAGACTCCTAGGCCTTACTATGAGTTTTCATTCTCTAGTCTCAGTGAGTACTGAGAAGTGAATTCAGGTCCTCAGGAAGAGCAACAAGGTCTCACTCTTTTACTTTTTTAAGATTTGTTAATTATTTATACAGTTTTCTGTCTGAATGTGTGCCAGCAAGTCAGAATAGGGAACCAGATCTGATTATAGATGATTATGAGCCACCATATGGATGCTGGGAACTGAACTCAAGACCTTTGGAAGAAGAGCCAGTGCTCTTAACCTCTGAGCCATCCCTCCAGGCCAGCTCTCACACTTTATTCTGTGTGCATCGGTGTGAGGGTGTCAGATCCCCAGGAACTGGAGTTACAAACAGTTGTGAGCTGCAATGTGGGTGCTGGGAATTGAACCCTGTCTCAAAAAAGAAGATAATAATAATTACCATGATAGATTGAAACTCATACTGCCTCAGTGAGGCAGAGGCAGGTGGATTTCTGTGAGTTCATGTCCAACCTGGTCTTCAAGACAAGTCCAAGACAGCTAAGGATACACAGAGAAACCCTGCCTCAAAAACAACATATATGAAAACTCACACGGTGCCTCTTCATAACATTTTTAAATTTACTTATTTTTATTTAATGCATATGAGTGTGTTGCCTACATGTACACTGTGTTCATGCGTAGTGACTTCAGAAGTCAGAGGAAGACATCTGATTACCAGCATCTGGAGTTACAGACAGTTGTGATTTGCCATATGAGTGCTTCGTGAACTTGGGTCTTCTGTAAAGGCAGTAAATGCACTTAACCACTGAACCTTCTCTCCAGCCCCTTTATTTTTAGTTTTGTTTTTAAGGTTTTGGATGGTTTGGTTTGGTTTGGTTTGGTTTGGTTTTCTGAGACAGAGTTTCTCTGTGTAGCCCTTGGCTGTCCTGGAACTTCTTCTCTAGACTGGGCTGGCCTTGAACTCACAGAGATTTACCTGCCTCTGCCTCTACATCTGGAGTGTGTCAGGGACCCTCTGGCACCTTGCTGCCCCCTGAATTTTGGCATCTGGCTTGACTGGCCTACAAGTTGGTTATAATAGTGCATTCCTGGCTGACCTGAGGCTTTCGATAAGATCATCTTCCTGAAATACCTTAAGTCCTCCTCTCCCTCAGGGCTTCCTAAGTAACACTTCTGAGGAACTTTCCAAACAACCATTATTAGCACATCTTGGTGGGCCATCCTGTGATTTCTAGTCACTTAGTAACCCTGCCAAAGGCAATTACATTCCTTTTGTCCTGCCTATATAGTTGTATGGAAAATTTGAATAAACAGAGACTTTGATCAGAGATACTGTCTTGGTCTTCATTTCTCGTGCCCTGGTCCCCTTCTTTCATTCCCACTCCCCCATTCAGGATCTCCAGTGACAGAGCTTCGAAACAGGTCAGGAGTGTTGAGTTTAAAAACATGTGCTACCCCTGCCTGACTGTATTTTTTTCTTGTAAAGAATTTTTTTAACATGTATGTGTGTGTGTGTGTGCATAGTTTATTTGTACCAAAGGCATATAGAAACCCTCAGAGGCCAGAAGGTATCAGATCCCATGGAAAGAGAGTTAAAGGAAGTAAGCCAACATGTGAGTGCTGGGTACTAATCCTGAGCCCTGTGCTGGGCCCTTAGCAGTAAAAGTGTTCTGGAGCACTGAGCCATCTTTCCACTCCCTATTTTATTTTTTTAATTACACACACAGTATGTTTATGTGTACATGTGTGGGCTTTGAAGAAGCTGAAAAGGACTGGAACTGGTATTACAGATGGTTGTGAACCACCTAATGAGGATGCCGGGAGCCAAACTCAGGTCCTCTGCAAGAGCAGCAAGTACTCTTAATTACTGAGCTACCTCTCCAGTTCCTGGGTTGACCTTTTTAACATACTTTCTGGTAGATATTCAGTGTACTATATTGCCTCCTGGGTGGTTCTGCTGGAGGAAAAGTAGATTCAGCGGGAGGTACATAGAGGCTGGTAGTATGGTGAAAGTGACTTTGGCTAGTCTTAGTGTTACAGATACCTATATATGCTTGTTTATTTGCTATGGTTTGTTTTTTAGATACGGTTTTGCTGTCACACAGTTCTGGCTGTCCTGGAACTCTCTCTCTGTTGGTAGTTGGATTAAAAGCGTGTACCACCACACCCAGAAACAAACCTATCTTGAAACATGGTTTTAGAGACTAGAGGTGTAATTGAACGCAGTGGTCGTATGTGCTTAACATGTACTAGGCCCTAGGTGCAATCCCCAGCACCAATAAACATGGTTTTCTATTAATTTGCCCGTGATGTAGTTATTTCTTTCCTAATTTTGTACCCAAGAGAATAAAACATATATCTCCAGGGGCTGGGAAGATGACTTAGCAGTTAAGAGCACTTGCTGTTCTTGCAGAGGACTGGGGTTTGGTTCTCAGCACCCACATGATGGCTCACAACTCCAGTTTCAAGAGTTCTCTCACCCTCTTCTGGCTTCCATGTTCTCTGCACATACATGCTACACATACATTCATTTAGGCAAAACACTCATACACATAAAATAAAAATGGAAGAGCATATGTCCAGGGCAGGCAGGATAATGTAGCAGGTATAGGAGTTTGCCAGCAAGCCTGATGTCCTGAGTTTGATTCCTAGGATCTACTTAGTTGGAGGAGGAAACCAACTCCTGAAAGTTGTCACCTCTCACCTCCACACACATGTTTATAGGTCCACACAAAATAAACAAAAATATGTCCACGGCTGGATGTGGTAGCTCACGGCTGTAACAGCAGCACTTGGAAGATGCCTGTCAAAGCGATGTGATGAGACTTTGTCTCAAAAATGTATAATCCATGTGAGCTGTAACTCAGTGATAGGATGCTTACCTAGTATACATGAGGCATGGTTCACATTCTAGTACTTTAATAATTAAAGTAGGGGCTGGAGAGATGGCTCAGAGCTTAAGAACACTGGCTATTCTTCCAAAGGTCTTGAGTTCAACTGCCAGCAACCACATGCTGGCTCATAACCATCTATAGTGAGATCTGGTTGTGCTCTTTTGGTGCATAGGCACACATGCAGGCAGAATGAGGTATAATAAATAGATAGATAGATAGATAGATAGATAGATAGATAGATAGATAGATAAAAACTAAACAAGAGAAAAAAATGAACCACTGGGCACATGTCTTTCTTCCTAGCACTCAGGAGGCAGACAACTCTCTGTGAGAGTGAAAGGTCAGCCTGCTCTGAAAAGCAAGTTCAAGTACAGCCAGCGAGGGCTACACACAGAGGAATCCTCTCTTGAAAAACCAAAACAACAAGAACAACAACAAGAAACCCAACACTATAGCTTTCAGTTTAGTTGTTTTATGGGACTCCTAAATGCATAAACAAGTGGGTCTCTGAATCTTGTGCCTTCTCTGGGGTTCTTTTATTTCTCTGCTGGCTTGTACAACTTCAGTATGATGGTTTTTGTTTTATGTTATATTTTGAAAATAGAATTTATTGAACACCTAGTCATGCAGAAAGAGCATAGCAGCTGCTTATGTGATTATTAGATTTAACAACTTGCTGGGCAATGGTGGCACACACCTTTGATCCCAGCATGTACTTGGAAAGCAGAGGCAAAAAAAACCTTTTCTTACTGCCCCCTCAGTAAAGAACTAGCAGCAATTTTTCTGTGTGAGAATTATGTTGCAAAGGCTAGTCTTGAAATCATAGATTTTAGTTGCCAAGTGATTTTCCCATCTCAACCTAAGTATGTGGGACCACAGACAATATGACATTTGGATTACATTTAGCAAATATTGTACCGTAGTTTCTATTTTAAACAATACTTATTTAATTATGTACTTTTGAAGAGATCTAGCTAGAAAACCGGGAAAACTGGGAACTTTCCGCTAATTGCTAAGTGCAGAGTACACCTCTTCCCTCTGCCTCCCCCCCAACCCCGCCCCAGGACTCAAACCTCACAGATAGACAGTTGCTGGAAAAACCCCAAGGACATAGATGCAGGCAGACCTTGGCACATTCACACAGACTGTTGCTGG